TAGAACTATTGAAAACCGATTGCGTTTCTGAATTTACGTTTTTATTTGAAAAACCTGAATAAAACTGAAAATCTGTACAAGGACGCGAAAAAAATATGACCCCCCCCCAACGACTTCTCAACCCTACCGCCTATCATAATGCCTTCCCGATTCTGGCGTTGGGTGGACGCAGGAGCGCGTAGTAGGAGACGCTTGTCGGAAATGCTACTGGAGGTCCTCTTGACAACTGACTTGCGACGGGGACCGTGACATAAATGACAAATGTTAATGAAGAATTACTCCTGAAATAGCGCTCATTATTAATGGAGGCATTACTCCCAGCACCCATTACTAACCGCGCTCAACAATTCAGACGCAACAAATAAAAATTTAGAAAAACGAATCCGGCCTAGATAAGTTTTTACTGTATTTGGGTTGCATGTAAATAATGCATGTTCTTATATGGGAAATGGTGAGAACAAAAAATGCAAAACATGAAATATTTTATTACTGAAATTTTATTCAAACTGAAATCCCACGAATTATCTCTGTTTCCAAGTGGCAGCTGTTGTTGTAAAGAGATTATTATTTCAAAGGTCAAAGAGCAATTAAAGTTATACTTCGATTATTTAGTGCCCTTTGATAGATTCAACCAGCTTGTTTCAGTTGTTCATCCAATCGCGAGCTTAAATGTAATTAGTGACGGGCACCACTGTTGACGCTCCAACCGTCCGATTTGAGATAACACTTAACAAGCATGATTGTCTTGTTCAACAGACTATGTTTAATCAAATATTTATAGTATGTGATGGGCCTCCTTTGGAAGCGGGGGGCGGGGGGGCTGACCCCCCCGGAAAAAGCGGGGAGGAACATTCTTGGGGAGGCCGTGTCACATGGGAGTTAGCGGTGACTGAATAGGCACAGCGATTCAGGGGAAGAGGGAGCTTTCCAAGAGAAATAAGTTCTCATAAAACATCTTTTATAATCGCGCCAGAGGGGGGGCATTGAAGGAAGCGTTGGAGTGTTCCATGTGAATGAGATTAAGTGACTTCAAGCATCTTATTACCGTAGTCGGGGGAAAGAAAGCAAAGCTATTTTAAAGGTTGAATGCTGATGATTGTTGTGGAGTTAAGTATCTTCGCTGACAGGGACCTCACACCTCGGACGTCAGCATCTGCCTGCGACATCGGCCTGGAGCCGTGGGGGGCGCCTCATCTTCCAGTAGTACACCAGCTGAGCACGACTGCATTTAGGTATTGTGGTTGCCCCCCGTAAAATATAGCTCGCATATTGTATTAAAACAGTAATCGTAATACAAATACTTGCTTACAATAAAACTAATTAATTTTTTATAAAAATTCTACAAAATTTTTACATTACATTACAATATGATTTTATTTTACAAAATATGTTATGCAGTTTCCGCAGCGCCGGGTCCCCAACAGGCAACCTGCTTGTAGGTAAATCTGCCGCCTTGACTGCGTAGGTCACAGTTATGTGCTAACGATTCCCTTGAGCTCTCCGTCGTTTTGTTATGACACGTGAGAAAACAAAATACGGTAAAACGAATTTTTTATAGCACCAATCTTAACCATCTATGCCCAAAAGCCTGATCTATTGAGAGAGGAGGTTGAAAACGTTTGAAGACGTTCTGTTCTTATCAGTTTTCAGGAGCCGCTACATGAGTCGTGTTACGGTGTCCGTCGCGCATCACGGATTTTGAAACAAAGCTTTAACCACAGTTTTGTTTCATGATGCAAAACCAAAAAGTGCCAAATCTCATTGATAAAAATCAGTTTTACAGCGCCATAATGTGGGTGCCAGCGATTAATGCCGGTCTTAATAAAAAAATGACTTTGAAAAAATACCAGTAAATAATTATTGGAAATATTTAATACAAATAATAAAAAATTAATTTCCTTACATGCAGTGATTTAAAAAGCGGTAAATGAAATCTGTAGAAGACGAGCAACGGTTGGCGGGTGTCCTCGACTTCAAAACAGATGAAACGTTACAAAAAACTGTTTATTTCAAACACACGAATGACTATTCAAGAAGTTGTTGGGGTGAAAAGCATTTTAACCGATAATTTTTGCAAATGGGACAATCAGAAATTAGTCAATGGCTTCCTTTTTCATCGCGGACAAACCGCGCGTACCCACACGTCGCTTGTGGATTTCGCGGTTGTTTGGGCGCTATTGTCAGGTGTTTCACATCCGCCTTACTTGCAATGTAGCACCATGCGACTTCTCTCTCTTTGCAGAAAAATAAAAGCGTGCTACAAGAAAAATGCTTTAACACTATTCTCAACATTGCAGGCTACAACACATAGTTTATGAGCCCTTCTGATACAAGCTTTCAGTCATAGATTCAACCGTGGGACATGTGCATGTCGCTACCAAGACAGTACTTGCGAGATTATACCAAATTATATGTAAGCTACCAAGCGGGGTTCAAATATGACGGGACGATTTTTTTCAAATACCGCCATTGCGCATTTAATGCGCCGCCTTGAGTGAGATGTCTAGCCACAACCCCCCACTCCTCCTTGCAGGGTTAAGAAACCTGTTCAGTCGATGTCTGGGTCTCATAGAACGCATAGTGAACAAAAGTGCCGCGGTGCGTGGAACAAAGGGCATATCATAAAATTTCTCGTGGAGAAAAAGTTCAACCGTCGGCGAAATTTGCAGAGACTCAAAACAGTACAGGAAGATGCCCTCTCACGGACCCGTGTGTTTGAATGGTTGTAAGGTTCAGAGAGGGACGAGAGCGCGTTGAGAATGAACCTCATAAATCGTCGGCCCGCGTGAACTTCCATAACCCAACAACATTTGATCGTGTTAATGCGGTTATTGTGAGAACAGGCGCATCACTATCAAAGAAGTAGCATCAGTTAATTGCATCAGTGTGGGCTAGTGTAGAAGACATGATAAAAAAAACACCTAAAATTATAAAGAAAAAAAGTGAATGCTAGGTGGTGTTCCACGCACTTTACGGACCGAGAACAAAATTGATCGCGCAGAAATCTCGCCCAGTGTTCTTCTAATGCGACGTTTAAA